AGCAAGTATCTGAGAGAGGCCCCATCAACGAAGGGTACAGACAGCCCAGCAGGAGCAGCAAAACCACCGAAGGCGCAGCAGCAATCCGAAATATGTGGTTTACCCTGAGCAGCACAAGATATCTGCTGCTGCTGCTGCTGCTGCTGCTGCTGCTGCTGCTGCTGCTGCTGCTGCTTTTGGGGGTCGAGGAGACCCCCGTGAAGGGTAACGGGGCTGCATGCGTTGCGATCGTAGAAATGCAGCTGACGCCAAAGAGGAAGCAAACGTTTCTTCTCTGCTGCTGCTGCTGCTGCTGCTGTTGCTGCTGCTGCTGCTCCTGTTGCTGCTGTTGCTGCTGTTGCTGCTGGTGCTGTTCTATCACTATCCGTTGGTACCGCTTGTGGTGCTGCTGCAACACCATTTGCTGTTGCAGCATCTGCTGCTGCTGCAGCAGCACCATTTGCTGCTGCTGCTGCTGCACCTGCATCTGCTGCTGCTGCTGCTGCTGCTGCTGTTTCTGCTGCTGCTGCTAGTGTGTGTACTCTTGCTGTCTGAATACAGAACTCTGTGGTTAAGTATAAACTCCTAATTAAAACATTTGTGTCGATGAGGTGCTGCAGCAGCAGATCAACAAAGACAGAGAAAGCAGCAGCATCAGCAGCAAGATGCTGCTGCAGCAGCAGCAGAATATAAGGATTGAACTTTACTAACTCCCCCAATAAGTCGCAGCACGACTGCAGCATACCCCGATGCGCAGTGCTGCTGCTGCTACTGCTGCTGCTGCTGCTGTTGCTGCTGCTGCTGCTGCTGCTGCTGCTGCTGCTGTTGTCTCCAGAGCAAGGAAGAGAACAACCCGTCGTCTGCTGCTGCTTGACCTGCTTCTGCTTCTGCTGCTGCTGCTGCTGCAGCTGCAGCTGCTGCTGCTGCTGCTGCTGCTGCTGCTGCTGCAGAGCAATGGTGTGTATATCTCTGAGTAGCGCATGCAGGAGCCCCCTTTCAGCAGCAAAAACCTTAATGAGTGGGTCAGCCCCACGTATGCATGCTTCGAGAGCAGCAGCAACCCAAAATTTATAAACAGAAGAAACACATTCATTTATATAAATATAAATAAGACGCGACAACAACCCCACCGTCCCCTTAAATATATAACGCACACACAAACGAGGGATACGACCACCAGATACACTCGGAGTAACTGCTGAATCGCTGCTGCTGCTGCTGCTGCTGCTGCTGCTGCTGTTGCTGCTGGTGCTGGTGGTGGTGGTGGTGGCGGTGGTGGTGGCGGCGGGGAAAGGTGCGGTGCTCGTTGTTGTTGTGGGTAATGAGGAACTGCTGCTCCTGCTGCTGCTGCTGCTGCTGCTGCTGCTGCTGTTGGAGCTGGAGGCAGGCTCTTCCTCTTCCTGTTGCTGCTGCTGCTGCTGCTGCTGCTGCTGCTGCTGTTGCTGCTGCTGTTCGTCTTGTGGTGTATCATCTGCATCTATTGCCATCCGAGTTAGCTGCTGCTGCTGCATCGCGTGCTGCTGCTGCTGCTGCTGCTGCTGCTGCTGCTGCTGCATCTGCATCTCCCTTTGCTGCTGCTGCTGCTGCTGCTGCAGCAGCAGTTGCTGCTGCTGCTGCTGCTGCACGATGGATGCATGCGTATCAACAAGTGGGTGTGAATGAAAGACAAGTATATTCTGGGCGACAACTTTAATAGTGGGAGAAAAAACAAAGAGGTTCTTAGTTTGTCTGCATGCATGCATTATGCTGTTTCTCTCGTGCTGCGTCAGCATCTGTCTTTTTGCTGCTGCAGCAACACAGCCGGCGTCGTAGTCCCCCACATCGTGGATCAGCCGCAGCAGCTCCAGAGCAAACGCACACAGAGAGGCCTCGCAGCAGCAGAACTCTGCTGCTGCTGCTGCTCCTCCTGCTGCTGTTGCTGCTGCTGCTGCTGGTGTGGGGGCTGCAGCAGCAGCTGCTGCTGCTGCTGCTGCTGCAGATGGAGGGGATGAGAATGGTTGCAAGTTTAGGTCGTCGTATATGCTGCTGCCACTCACACGCATTCGACGCCTCCTGCTGCTGCTGCTGCTGCTGCTGCTGCTGCTGCTGTCTGTCGAAGACGGTTGATGATGACGGGATGGAGAATCTCCTGCTGCTGCTGCTGCTGCTGCTGCTGCTGCTGCTGGTGCTGCTCCTGCTGCTGGTGTGTCTTCTCCTTCTCTGGTTTGTCTCCTGTCTATTTCTTCTATTTTTCTTTCCTGCTGCTCCCCCTGCTGCTGCTGCTGGTGCTGCTGCTGCTGCTGCTGCTGGTGCTGGTGTGACCAGTGGTCCACTCGGTGGTCCACTCTGAACCAGATCTGCGCCTCCAGCAGCTGCGTCAGTATCTCAATAACACCCAGCTGCAGCAGCTGCTGCTGCACTGCAGCACGAGAAGAACCCCCCAGAAGAGAACAAATCACAAAGTATAGCTCAGGCTGCAGCAACACACACACATTTATTTTTTTTTTTTTTTTTTTTTTTTTTTTTTTTTTTTTTGGTTTTTTT